TAGTAAGGAGAAACCTCAGTTTAAATGAAAAGGTGATTTATAATAATGACTACTATTTAGCTCCTTTTGAATCTGAAGTTAGAGATACTGCTTGTTTCCTTTGTCAAAGCCCAAACCATCTCTCCAAGGCCATACCAGCCAGTTCCAAAAGTGTTACACTGCCATCTTTCTCACTCCATGTAGCGTAAGCAATAGAGACTGGGTGGTTATTTACATGTCAATGAAGACAGCTAGCCCAGTAAGCAGGCCACTTGCTCTGGGCTGATGTTTGCACTTACATGGTTCATCTTCGCACCTATTTTTTTAAGCAGTCAAATACACCCTTTTGGGAGACAGTAGGATGTAGTTAGTAGTTTGTATGGAAATTAACCATTGACTTTAATCACAACAAATTTTTAAATGACTGAACCACAAATTAAATTCAATGATCAGCCATCACTCAGACCCTTTATAGGTGCTTAGCAGATCATTTTTTTGTGTCCCCTTCAGAAGGAATGAACATGGGTTAAAAGCGCCAACTCTGGTGTCAGGTTTCTAGGGTTAGGATCTTGGCTCAGCTGTGAGGTATTGACATTATCGACTTCATGGGGCTGGTGTTCAAAATGAGCTAACACATGAAGAGTGCTTACGTGTCTGACATATGACAAACTGCTTTGTAAATGTGATTTGTTTATAAGTGACATGTTAGCACTGTGGTGTGGTCACAGTATAAACCTGTTTTGCTGCTCTCAAAGAACTTTAACAACACAGAGGAGGAGACAACACCAACATGAATGAAATAATTATGGGCTGAACTGAGCGGTTATAACTGACCTGCTGGCAAAGTCGCAAATAAGTCCCAGCTTGGAGGGCACAGTCCTCTAAGCATAATTAAGCTTGATTTTGTGACTGTTCCCTAGATCTTTCCTAGGTAGCTAATGGGCTGTGGGAGGTGCAGCAAGTGCTGCCAAAATAAGTGAAATTTACAATAACATTGTAAATTACCTTATTGACCTCTGACTATAAAATAAGCCATCATTTTGCAGTCTGGATCTGTTCTGTAGCCTCAGCTAAGCACAGAAGATCCACCTAGACCCAGCTTATTCTTTTTGTCTGTCTTTTCTTCATCCTTCACCAGCCCTCCCTCAGGCTCACTGAACCTTTGGCTGTGCTGGCACGGCACAATAGTTCTGCAAGAGATTTTATAGGTCTCCCAGTGGAAGTTACCATGAAAGTTATCTAGAGCATCCTCAATAGATGACCTTCCATAACACAGCATATCAGAAAGGCTAACATGGATGTCATTGCTGGAACATACCAGCCCATGGTGTGTGTGTTACTCATGTGCCAGGATTTGGTCCTTCTTCCCAAAGGGTCAATCTCCTGTCTTTACCCCAAAGTGTGTACACATTTAAGTTCAACTATGAGATCATGTAATTTAGTAATTCCTTCCTTCCTACTAACTGTGTAGTTTTCTAGTGTATGCATAGACTACAATTTTCTCATCCATTTTTTCACCTGCTTACATATATTCGGGTTGTTTGCATGTCGTCACTCATAGGAATGAAATCTGCTGTGAGCATTCTTGTGCAACTTTTTGTGGACTTATCCTCTTCATTTCTCTTGGGAAAATACCTAGAAAGGAATTGCTACATCATCGGGTAGGAATGTATTTAACTATATAAGAAACTGTTAAGGTCTTTTCCAAAGTGGTCACACCACTTCAAAACAGTGAATAGGAGTTCCAAAACACATATTATCATCAGTATTTTAAATTTTAGCTATTCTAGTGGATGTGAAGTGGTACTTCACAATAGTTTTTATTTTGCATTTCCCTACTAACTAATTAGGTTGAGCATTTTTTATGTACTTCACGGGCCATTTGTATATCTTCTTTTTGAAATATCTGCCAGATCATTATAGATGTAATCTCAGGTCGATATTATAGATAAATTGATTTAAAATGTCATGGAAGAAGCTATAAGACAGCAATGAGTGGTGAGAGGAAATCTACTGGACTTCCGTTCTCAACTGATGTAGCATCTACTACTGTAGAGGGTAACGCCGTGTGGACCAGAAACCACAGCTTAGGTGGTTTAGTTCAACCTTCACGCCCAGCATCTGACACAGTGCTTTGCACAGTCATCGTCCCAATAACTGCTGCAGAATAAGTGACTTTTATCTATAGGAATACCCCAAAATACTTTTTTTTGTGTGAGTGACGAGGTAGAAAGAATTAAATACCTCAGTTAACATAAAACACTTCGGCACAAAGTATGAAGGGTTGGAAAGATGCCGTGGCTGGTAGCTCAGTTTGTTAGAGTGTTGTCTTGATATACTGACCGAGGTTGTGGGTTCGATCCCCGGTCAGGACACATACAAGAATCAACCAATGAATGCATACTAGTAAATAACTGGAGCAGCAAATCAATGTTTCTCTCTTTCCTTCTCCTCCCCCTCCTCTCTCTAAAAATCAATAAAATTTTATTAAAATTTAATTTAAAAAGAAAGAGTGCATGTGTTGGACCTGGTCATGCCTCTGAAGAATTAAATGTTAATTACGGTAATCATGGTCCGTGTGCTAAATAAAAGAGCTGGGATCTTGGGCTGGTTGCGGGGAGGCCAGAATGCCTCCGTGAGTGAACCCATAGCTAGACCACACTATGAAACAAGTAGCTTTGCTTCCTTGGACTTTCCTGAATTTTGCATAATAGCAAGGTACGAGTATAGCTTCGAGGAAAAATCGGGGCCTCTGTACCCATTGAATACTTTTAAACTCCAAGCCAGTAACTGGAACACTATTTAGCAGCCTAGCAAACATGCCCGGGGTCACTCGTCAACTCAGATGTTTGGGTGGCCTTTCTTGGAGCAGTCAGCGGTCAGTCTGGATTGCATCCGTGAGCTTCACACTCTATGGCTTGTGGTTGATGTAGGCAGGTATTTCGAGCCTCGGCTGTGGAAGATGGCTGCTTTTAAACATTCTAGGCCAAAGCTCAGTTTGAGAAAGGAGACCAGACTCTCAGTCTTGTTGGTATTTTGGGAAGTATGCCATCATAATGATATTTCCAGGCTGTGCTGAATATGGCCAAAGGGAGAGACCGTCAAGACAGCCTGCCTTAAAACAACTGTGGGACGCTATTTTTCTACTTGTAAAGTAGGGAAAGAGCTTTTTAAGCAACACTCAGTTTCCTGGGAATATATTCCTACACAGCTGATCGGAGGGCCATTTGGCCAAAAAACCACACACAAAAAAAGCAAAACATTAAAACTATACATATTATTTGACTCCACAATTTCACCTCTAAAAATGTACCCCACAAAAATAATTTTATCTCTGTAATGATTTATCTGTTAGTTTATATTAAACACAGCGTTGTTTGTAAGAGTTAAAAAATTAGAAACCGATGAACTGTCTAACAGAAGGGAATTGCCCAGAGGAATTTCGCTCTCTCCATAGGAAGGAATAGTATACAACTGTTAAAAATAAGGTGGTAGGAGAATGTATAAAGATGTGGGCATTTGTTCATGACCTATTGTTAAGTTAAAAAGCAGTTTGCAGAGCACCATGTACAAAGCATATTTTTGTTGAAAAATCACACAATAAAATAATCTGTACATGTGTATAGAAGAAAAGTTAGAAGACCATACATTCCAAGGTTAATAGCAACCACCTTTGGGTGGTAATTTTTACAGATGATTCTTACCTTCTCCTTTATGCTCCCCCCAGCAAATCTTATATAACAAATATTACATCAGCAGTTGGGGGTGAGGGGAAGGTAGCTTTAAATATTTCAAGCAAAATAAGCAGCACACAAAAAACCCTATGCTGAGTTAGGATTGTCTACTGATAGGGGAGCAAAAAGGTTTTAGTTCTGTGCTAAAACCCGGACACATGCCAGGACTTCATGTTCTAAAGCCGTTAGTTCAGAGTAATTCACACAAGCCCTGATGGCACAGAACAGTCCTAAGAGTTTTCTCTGTTTTCATTTCACGGGAAGTATTTCCTACCCCCGCTGTGCTGAGCCTTGTGCAGCAGGCAGCCCACGTTCAGGGAGGCGGATGACATGGACACACAGGTGCCAGCACACAGGTGCCGTCTGGGGAAGGGGGTTCAGTCCTGCAGCCAGCACTCCCCCTGTCACTGAAATCCCCAGCTGTGTCTTTGGGAAAATAGAGAGCTTGTAGCCTAGACTGACCCACAGCCAGACCCAGCACAGGTTACTGAGGACAAGTTATACACATCAGGGAAATCCTTCATCTGGGGGAAGAGGGGGGTGGTTCTGTCATCTGTGGCAGCACCCGGGCTTCACAGAGTCCTTCGCTGTCCCGGACAGAATGGATTGGCGGGATCACCAATCGCCAGCCATGGACTGGCCCAGCTGTCCGGACAGTGGACTTGAAGCTTTAAAAAGCTGGAGGGTGAGGACGGCTGTGAGGCGGCGGCTTACTCTGACCCAGTGCCCCCGGGGGGAAACGTGACCCTCTGCCCTGTCCACCTCCAGCTGTTCCTGGACTGTGAGAGGGAACGAGCCAAGGATATACTGCTTTGCCCACAAAGGAATCCGGCAGAGAGCCAGACAAAATTAAGCTTAAACTCAAAGTCAGAAGTGCACAACCAGCAGTAGGACGGGGGGGGGGGGGGGGGGGGGGGGGGAGGCTAACTCACAGCCACTCTCAGCACCCCCTCTCCCCCCCATGCAGCATGGGTGTTTTCAACTACACAGCGTCAGGCAAACTCCAGAGAAACGCCAGTGGCCGGGCGTCTAGGGCTGCAGGATGACAGCTCAAGAAACAGCGTGTCTACAGTCTGCCCGAGTCCCTTCAGAACCAGCGGTGAATCCGTTAGCCCACCCTATGCATCACCAGCAGGACTGTTCTTGGAGTTTAAACACGAAGATGGCCAAGCATTTACAACCAGAGGTCCCCCAGGCACTCTTCCCCACCCCCTCCCCACACACACACTCGTTCAGGATCAAATGGCCAGGCGCTCACAGAACACACCCCGTTAACTCCGGACTCACCTGGTCTCAGGCTGCAGGGGTGCGCCCCGCGGGGCAGGTGGCCGCCGCCGCCTCTGTGCAGGGCAGACATGGTCCTGGCGGATCCCCACGGCCCCGGTGTCCCTGGGGCACCTCCTTCCCCGGCCAGGCCCCTGCCGGTCTCCACGGGACACCCGGAGCCACAGAGGTGCGTGTGGATCCTGTCCTCGGTGTAAAGCATGTACTTCTCTAACGCATTTCCGAGTGTTTCCTGGTGGTGATTCTGAAAATGAACATTCCCGCTGTGACTGCCCCCACAGAAAAAAATGCCGATGCACCTGGATAAAAATGCAAAACTCCTGTTTCAGTTCAAAGCACGTTGAAAAATTTCCCCCTTAAAGTGTAAAATCCTACACAGTAACTGTTTGCAACAGACTGCAGCCTGGGCCTTTTTGATTCCTTCTGCTGACATGAAATCTAACGCCCGAGTACTCAGGGAGGGCTGCTAGTCATCACACACGGGAAGAAAACAATGCAGCTGAGTTAAGTCAAGTGATTCCTAAGCGTCGGAGCTGCCCTCTGGGACAGCAGACAGCAAAGGCTCTTAAGGGAGGAGGGAGGAGGAGGAGCCTGGCTGGCTGATCGGCATAAAGACAGGCAAGACCTGGCCCCGGAGCGGCTGTGAGTAATAGTGACCGAAGCAGGGATTCTAAAGAGATGCTCGGACATTCAGTGCTCGCATCCCTCCTTCTGCGGCTGTGTTTGTAATGAAAACAAAAAACATAAGCAGAGGCTCACGGGCCTGGAGATTCGCTTGTGCATCGGAGACCTGAGGGTGGAAGGGGAACTAGGAATGAGCTCATGGAAATGTACTGCTGGGGCTCCGTTTCTGTAAACAGCCTCCGTCTTCAGAGATGGGCAGTCGTAGGGGAGACCAGCTGCCAAGGTAACTATTTGGAGTTCTGGGAGAAAAATAAGCACACAAAACACGATCTTTCCAGAAACCTAGCTCTGTTGGCCCTTAGATTCTCTATGGCTACTTCTAGGTCATAAGACAAAGCTGTTTCCAGTGTGTGTGTGTGTGTGTGTGTGTGTGTGCGCGCTGAAAAAGCATATCTCATTGAAATGCTAAAAGTAGTTCATATTTCGTTAAATAGTGGATTCGTTAATGTTTTAAAATATCCCAAACTCCTCTTATTTAACCTGGGAGCTTGCTACGGCTGACAGTCTAAGGAATTCTTGCAGACCCTGCCCTTCAGGATTCATGGCTCTTTGTGACTCAGAAAGGAGATGTGGGCAAGAATAAAGGAGATTGGGTCTCTGATTCTGTAGTTTCACTGTTGGTGTATAGAAATGCCATGGATTTCTTGGCATTAATTTTGTATCCTGCTACATTGCCAAATTCATTTATTAAGTCAATTAGTTTTTTAATGGAGTCTTTTGGGGTTTTTCCCCACTCATTTGTGGATAATAAAGATCATTATAAACTGATGAACCAAAAGATAGATATAGAGACAGTAAAGCAACAAGCAGATTGTCAAATCACAGCGGGGAGGGGAAGAGGATCTGGGGGAGATAATAGATCAACCGAAGGACTTGTATACATGCATATAAGTACAACCAATGGACATGAAACTCTGGGGAGGGAGGGGATGTGTGGGAGGGAGAAAGGGGGGCAAAAAAAATCAATAAAATATGTAAAAATAAATAAATAAATAAATAAATAAATAAATGGTAAAAAAAAAAAAAAAAAGAATAAAGGAGAAAGGCTGCACCCGTTAGCTTTAATGTCTGGGTCCTGCAGGTTCCTCTGCATGTTTGGAAATGGGTGCTGCACCTGACACCCTAACTATAATAGAAGTGGATCTCCCAGCCTGATCGGTGGGCAGCCTCACTTTGCTCTGGGGGTTCACGATTTCCCAGGTATCTCTGAGCTAGGAGAACTCTCATGAAATATGTGATTGCTCTTTCACAACATTTTAATGATTAAACTGCTTTTATTGCTTTAATGGTCTGTCCATAGCAGTTTAAGGCCCCTCGCAGGGTAGCAGGCTGTAGAAGTCTGTGGCTACTTTGGAAGAGATTCCTGTGACTACAGAACCACGGCTCCTGCTTCCAGTGGCTGGGATTGAGCTCCTGCCTCATAGGGGTGCTGTGGAAGGCCGAGGCATTTTCTCCCCGAATGGGACACAGCTGTCAATATTCTATTCAATTGTGGGCCTTGCCCATGAGCCCACTGCTATGCCGGTAAAACAAATAACCCACCAAGCTGTAAGCCAGCCCTTGAGAGAAATGGATTAAAGTGTTCTATGAGAATGTTTACATATGTGTGAATTGGTAGAGAGAATACCACACCATGAGCCTCCTGCATCCACCTCTTGGAATCAATCATCATCAACTCATGGGACAATGTGGTTTCGAATCTGTGTTTCATCAGTCACTTTCCCCTCGCTTCACCCTTGGCATTGAAGCATCCCAGACATCATACATTCTCAATAGGTAATTCTAAAACACAAGGACTTTGAAACACAAGTCCATGCTAACATTGTCATCTTTTAAATCCTTAAACACGATTCCTTAATGCTATTAAATATCCAGCTACTGTTATTTTTCTAATGCCTCATAATTTTTTTTTAATTTTTACATTTTGTTCAAATTGGAATCCAAGGGTCCACACACTGTATCTGGTTGATCTCTCCCTTAGTCTTTATCACTTTGTATGTTCCTCTCTGAAAAAAAAAATTGTTGCTTAAGGATTACTATCTATATGTACCCTAATTTTCTGAGGATTCCCTGCTTTTCTTTCTCACCCATGGATGTAAAGCCAGGGGGGAAAGGGAGGAAATGGAATGGTACAGACCACAGAGGCTACAACAGCCAGCTTTCTGGCACTCCTGTCACTGCACTGTGTGACCCGGACCCGGGGACTTAGCATTTCTCGGGGTGTGCCTTCTTTTGTCAAAGAAAACACATATTTGGTAAGTAATAAGAGAAGTTACTCAGCACTCATTCTGTGAATATGAAGACCTGAGAAAGGAAAGACTATTCTGCTTTGTCATTGGCTAGAGACTGAGAAGAAATAGATTTACAACTAAAAATCTAAGTAAGATTTGGGAGTGTACTTGAAAATCTAGGTCCTCAATTCTCAAATCTGGCTGAGTATTGGACTTACCTGGGAACACAGTCAAGACAGTCAAGATAGAGATTCCTGAGAATCTGCACAGTGTGAGGCCTGAACTATATACATTCTCTCTTTTTAAAACTTAACTCTCCCTCCCCTAAGATTTATCGATATATAATTGATGGGCGCAGTGTAGATTTGATACATTTACATTGCAAGATGATCACCACCAGAGCGTTCACTACCCTCCCCTGCCCATCACATGGTTACCATTTCTTTTTTGTGGTGAGAATGTTTAAGAGCTACTCTTTCAGCAACATTCGCATATAGGCACAGCATTATTAGCTATAATCACATCCTATACAACCAAGCCCCAAACTAGTTAACCTTATAACTAGAAGTTTGTTCACTTTGGCCAATAACTCCCCATTTCTCCCACCTTCCAATCCCTGGTAATCATCACTTTCCTGTTTCTCTAATTTTGACTTTTTTAGGTGGAATATATATTTAAATATATTTTTTTTTTGATGTCAGAGAAGAAGGGAGAGGGAAAGAGAGAGATAGAAACATCAATAATGAGAGAGAACCATGGATCAGCTGCCTCCTGCACACCCGCTACTGGGGATCAAGCCCGCAACCCAGGCATGTGACTGGAATCGAACCTGGGACCCTTCAGTCTGCAGGCCGATGCTCCAGCCACTGAGTCAAACCAGCCAGGGCTATATATCTTTAAAGTTCTTTTGTCAAGGTAAACAAGCATAAGCTGCTTAAGCAGATCGGGTTTGTTCCCCTATTTCATTCATTACGTCTTCCCAAGGCAGTTTCCGGTGTCGCTGCGGCAGGGAAGAGAGGCTTCCGGGGCAGGCTTGCTGCCCGGTCCCTCCGTGTGCCATGGTTGTGCATCACTGGACATCCCTGGACAGTGGCCTGTGACTGACGACTTGAATAAGGAGCCTGCTGAGGTCTCACCCTGCAGATTGAGTCACACTTCTGCTCTGGGAATAAGCCAGTGTAGTTGAGGGCAGCATGTTACAAGAGCTATAAAGTAACATCAGCTGCATCAGCCATAGGAAGTACCAGCTAGAATAAGCCATGGCCCTGCCTTTGCAGAAACACTACCAAGTTAGTAGTTCAGCGGGCACAGTGTACTGTGCTTTTTTTCTTATAAATAAAACCCACCATTTGGGTAGGACCAAACGATGCTAAAGAAGGTGAAGTCTGCTTTTGTTAAGAAACAAGTGAGTAATATTTTGGCATTTTTACTTGCAATTTGACTAAAAAATAATTAGCAGCCTATTAAAGCCAGGCTTCTCCCATTATCTGCTCTGTGGTGTCAAAGAGACCGCACTGGTTTCCTTGGCCGGGGTTCTCCTCTCCCACATTCTCTCCGCTGATTGTAAGACATCGGAGATGCAGAAGGTTCTGTTAGAGACTGTTCTGCTGGACGCCTGCTCCTTGGACGCAGGAGGTCGCCAGCTCAGCATCAAGTGCGTACTTATCCCAGGGGCTCACTGTCTGAGGTGCTGCCCTTGATCTTTAGTTCGGTGCAGACCAACATTTTTGTCTTGGGTACCAGAAATGTTGCCTCACTCCATAAACATTGACCGTTCAAACTACGTTGGCCCTTTCTTGCAGCTGAGCCCCAGGTCTGACTGCCATGGGACCCCCACAGGTCCCCAGAGTCCAAGGTTAGGTGGTAAAATAGCCTTAAAAGTTAAACCCTTGTCTTTTCATCCAACTCCCAGGAGAATGGGGTCCTGTATTTGCAATATCAGAAAACAATGAGCTGTACCTGAGACCACAGGAAAGTTACCTGATTATTCTCCTGTGGGTAACATTTGTTCATGGCTGTGCACAGGTAGTTAATCTCTGCAGCTAAACATTTTTCTATCTTTATTGAAGGCTTTTGGATAAAATGAAAACAAGACCAGATAAAACCAAAGGTCAGAAAAATGTGGAGTTTTATTTTGTTTGTTTTGAGTGGCAACAGA